CCCCTAACTGCACCCTCCCGTGTCCCATAACTGCACCCTCCCCATGTCCCATAGCTGCACCCTCCCCATGTCCCATAGCTGCACCCTCCCCATGTTCCATAACTACATCCTCCCCATGTCCCATGACTGCACCCTCCTCATGCCTCATAACTGCACCCCTCCACCCCTCCCCATGTCCCACGTCACCAGTGCAGTTTTGCTGAAGAACTTTGTGTGTGTGTGTGTGTGTGTGTCTGTAAAGAAAACACTAGAAATCAGTCAAAAGATTTATAGGAAAGAATGCCCCACCCCCTCCCCAGAAGAGATTCCTTGTCTCCCAAGTTCTCTCCTCAGAGGTAGCCTCTGATCCCCTCCCTCCTCTTTTCCCTACCCACTCCTGTTTCCAGAATTTTCTTTTTAACAAATTGAACTTTTACACACACATATTTCCTCACACGTATTAATAAGTCCATGTGTCAGTTCACCCCAGGAAAACTTCTGGGAGAACCCCTGCTCCTACTGCAGTACAGAATCTTTTCTTTTTTTTTTCATTAAAACACTGCCTGGCCCATTATCTCTAGAGAGTTAGTTACTGGCTAACTCTCATATCTTGATTAACCCATTTCTAATAATCTGTGTAGCACCATGAGGTGGTGGCTTACCGGAAAAGATTCAGCATGTCTGACCTGGTGGCTGGCTCCATGGCATCTGCCTCACTGCCCTCTTCCCAGCATTCTGTTCTGTTTACTCCACCTACCTAATTTTCTGTCCTATCAAAGGGCCAAGGCAGTCTCTTTATTGACCAATGAAAATAACACAATAGCCAGATAACCCTCCTCCATCATTTCCCCTTTTTCTGTTTAAACAAAAAAGAAAGGCTTTCATTTTAACATAGTAAAATTACACATAACAAAACAGTTATCAAGCAAGAATTACAGTCACAATATTTATAACTATATCTTTATTATAATAATGGAAAACTATAACTATGATTATCCATTCTTCAACTCCGTCAAAGACTCCAGAAGGATATATTCCTAAGTAAACAAGAAGTAAGCAACTTCCAAAACTCTAGAAATGACCGAGACATCTCGCTGCCTGGACAGTCACCCAAAGTTCCTCTGTATCATTGGGGCATCCATTTTCGGCCTTCAGACCCATAATATCCAGCAGACATTTCCATGAAGCAGGAAATTTCAAAGGCAGTTCAGTCACTATCTGCTGTGTCCTGCAGAATGTCTCACAGACTTTTTCATGAATCAGGAACCCCGAAAGATCATCTCACCTTTAGGCAAGTTCAGCAGTACTCTCTGTGGGTTCTCTGTGTCCAGTTTATATAACAGTCCAGGCAAGAGCAGTTTCTTGCCCAAATGGCTAACCAACTCCATAAGGAGCCTCTTCGATGCCCATCTTCCTCTTGAAGTAGATTGGTGCTGCCAGGAGCAGACGTGTCTCATTGTCATGAAAAGTCCTAAGTTATTGAAACATTAAATGCCATGTTCTGTAGTCTTTGAAAGATATGAAGAATGCCTATCTTAAATATATCTATGCACATCTAGAAAATCAAACTAATATTACAAGCTTGACTATTATCGATGATTATCCATTAACAACCTATATTTTTAATTATACATTGCATTTTAAAATGAACTACACACTCACAATACCTCAATCAAGATCAGAAATATATATACATATAACAAAATTGACCTTAAAATCCATACCAATGCAAATTATTCATATCTATATCATATCCCCCTTTAAATGTAAAAGAACATTTATAAACAATATCTGGGAATATGGACCTAGTTATTTCTCTCCAAACTTCTTCCTGCTGTATAGGGGCGCTGTTAATCAGGTCTTTCATGGTATAAACTGTGTGCTAGATTCATCTCAGTCGGCAGTTGAGCAAAGTAATTTCTTGAGGGTGTTCATAACAACCTTTCAGGAGGACGGGGTCTATCATACCATATTGGGATAGAAGCAATCCACAGGGTCTCATCCTCTGTGAAAACAAAAAAAGAACCTCCGGAAAAGATTCAGCATGTCTGACCTGGTGGCTGGCTCCATGGCATCTGCCTCATTGCCCTCTTCCCAGCATTCTGTTCTGTTTACTCCCGCAGTACAGAATCTTTATCTCACCCTTTCTCAGACGGTCAGCTTCCAAAACGGCCCTGGCTGTCCTGGAACTCACTTTGTAGACTAGGCTAGCCTCGAACTCACAAAGATCCTTCTTCCTCTGCCTTCCGAGTGCTGAGATTAAAGCCAGGGAGTTGCTGCTCCCTGGCTTGCTCCTATGGCACCACACCGCACTCGGGGCTCAAGAGCTGTCTGCTACTCCAGTTCCACTGAACCCAGCGCAAAGGTGCTTTCCAATCAGTCTCCCAAACTTGCCTCATCTTAATACAATCCACAAAGCCAGCCCCTTGCAGTCGTCAAAATCCTTGTACCCTACCACAGAATAGTTTAAAAACTAGTTTTATAGGACTGGAGATGGCTCGGTGACTAAGAGCACTCGATGCCCTGGCCGAGGTCTGGTGAATGGCTCCCAGCACCCACAAATGGCTCACAACCACCTGTGACTCCAGGTGTGTGGGAATCTGACACCTCTTCTGAATTCAGTGGTCACACACATATGTATAGCTGGAATGCTCATACATGTAAAATAAGTATAGTTAATCTTTAAAAATAACTAACACTAGTTTTGCTTACACTTTTGAGTAAGGGCCACATAGACAACAAGCACACACCCTCAATTTCTTTCTTCTCTGGTGTGTGTTTACCATTCTCTTCCCCCCAAAGGATAACCAAGCTTAATTAGTTGCTTGCATTGCCTTCCAGATAATTATAATGTATGCAAAATATATATTCAATAAAGCAAAAATATTTTTCCCCTTTCACTCACAAGATAATATGTGATTTACGCTTTCTACAGCGGCTCTTTCCTTAAAATTTAGTAATAGATTCTCGGAGCGTTTCCATGGCAATTCCAAAGAGCTTCCTGTGGCTTTCTATAGCTGTGCATTCAGTCACGTGGATATAGTCTAATCCGTCCAACTCTCCCTGTCACATGCCACATAGTAAATATTTTAGGACCCATGAGGTTAGAGTCTTTGTGGAAACTACTGAACTTCCTTGTATAAGAAGGCAGAGACAAAATGCAAACAAAGAAACATGACAGTGTTTCAGTAAGATTTATTTATGGACAATGAAAGAATTTTCCAGAAAGCTCATGAATCATGAAAATAGAATTTTCCTTCTGATTTTTAAAAACTATATTAAAATGTTAAACCAGGGTGTGGCAGCTCATGCCTTGGTAATCCCAGCACTCAGGAGGCTGAGTCAGGAGAATCACCCTAAGTTTGAGGTCAGATTGGATACAGAGTGGGACCCTGTCTTAGCCCTCCTCCCTACAAAATGTTAAAGCTCTCCCTAGTTTGAAAACCCCACAAACCCAGGCAAAGAGCCTGCTTTGGCTTCTTGGCAATAGAATGCCCCCGGCTTATCTAACCTGTCCTCTGTTAATGAGATCAAACGGCTTTGGATCCTTCTGCAGTCTGTCACTTCATATGCAGGCGGACACTGGATCCTTCTGCAGTCTGTCACTTCATATGCAGGCGGACACTTGTGGGCTGAGTTCTGAGAACTTGCTGGACCTGGAGGCCTGCGAGTTCTTACGTGATGGGTGTGACAAGCGGCTGTGCTGGTTGATGTGTCCACCGGGAAGGCGCAGGAACGCCTGCGTCTTTATGCTGTGTCTTCATGCTAACTGCACCTTCACAGCCAACTCTGTCTTCAAACCCAGGCAATTGCTGGTCTGAGGGGGAGGACTGGGGTATCTCAGTGCTTCTCACCTGCTTTTTCCTTACAGAGACCTGATCACCATCTGTTTATGTGTTCAGCCACTGCTTATATGGCTTCTGTCTCTTTTCTTTCTTGTTTTTACTCCTTTTTCCCTTCTCCCTCTCTCCCTCCCTCCCTCCTTCCTTCCTTCCTTCCTTCCTTCCTTCCTTCCTTCCTTCCTTCCTTCCTTCCTTCCTTCCTTCTGTGGGGTTCAGAAGAAGGGGTTGGGTTGCTTGGGACTTAGAGTTCCAAGCAGTTGTGAGCTGCCAAGTGGGTGTTTGGGCTCAGCCCCAAGTCCCCTGCAAGTATAGTCAGTGCCCTCACTGGCTGGGCCTCCTCTCCAGCCAGCAGACGCTGTCCTAATACTTTTATAATTTAAGATTTGTCCTTTGCTCTGAGTTCCGTGTTATTTCTGGGTTTGTATTTAATACTGTGGATTCTCTTGTTCTCTTGTTTGATTAAAATGTATAAATGTAACATTTTCCAAACTTAAAATTTTTAATCTATTCTTTGACAAATTCATAATGCATTTCGATCATATCCACTCTCCTTCATTTTCTCTCTTATCCCCCTTCCCATGCCTCTGAAAACATTTTTTTCCCAACAATTCCTCCTTTCCATGCTTTTCAAACTTTCACTAAATACTTATATCAAGTCTTAGTTTTATTGTGTCTGAGGTATGAGTTAAAATTGGAATGGACTTTCCTACTGTCTGATTTTAAAGGTTCTCTCGAGTCTTCTCTTGGTACTTTACTGGGACTAGTGTTGGCGTTTATTGTTTAGGTTGGCATGACTCCAGTTTAATACATTTTCTATGAGGACCTGGGGGATTCAAGAGTCTATTGAATTACAGCTAGAATGGAACTCTCTCTCCATCCCACAAAAGTCCTGTGCACTCTCACAGCGGTCCTCAACCATTGGCTGTTCTCTCTAGCTATTGGTGTGTTCCTATTATCCTGAGGTTTCACTGTCAGTGGCTACAGTGTGTTCCCCTTATCCTGTGAGGCCGTCAGTGGCTACAGTGTGTTCCTATTACCCTGTGGGGTTTCACTGTCAGTGGCTACAGTGTGTTCCTATTATCCTGAGGTTTCACCGTCAGTGGCTACAGTGTGTTCCTATTACCCTGTGGGGTTTCAGCTTCACCGGCAGTGTTATCATATTTGTTGATCCAGTCCAGGTTTTATCAACCTTAGTATTTATTTATATCTCGGGCTAGATACAATGTTTATCCCAGGGGACTTTACCTCTCTGAAGAAGACTTGACACAATTTTAGCTTCCACCCGTTAGCTGACAATAGTAAGCACACACATGCACACACGCGTATCCTCTCACGGTTTATAGAAGGTGGAAACGTTTCAGATATTTTCAAATGTCCTCCGGGCACTCGTGTTAGTTCAGTCATTTGTTGTGCCTATTCTTTCTTTGTGCTCTTTGCTTATTCTTATTTATTCTGTCAACTTAGAGTTTCTTAAATTTTGTGAAAATATAATTATGTCATTCCCCTTCTCTTTCCTCCCTCCAACCTCTCTCATGTCCTCTCCCTCCAACCCTTCCCACAACCCCTTACTCTCTCAGATTCACAGTTTTGTTTTCTTTACTATTGTCACACACATATGTGTGTAAGCATGTAAATACAACCTGCTCAGTCCCTTTACTGTTGTTGGTATGTATAGGATTTCAGGCTGGACGGTATGGTATCGGATCATCAGCTGGGGGTTCATCCCTGGGGAAGACCAAGTCACTCTCTCAGCAGCCATTGTGGTCTGGCCTTAAACTTGCAATGCCCCTTCTTCAGCTCCTGCTGGTCTCTCAGACGAGACACTGGCTCTTGTCTCTTTCACACGTGGTGTCCCTGGTACCTGGAACAAAAGGCAGAATGCTGCTCTTTCGGCCATCTTGGCGCCTGTAGAGGCCTGCTGGGAACAGGACTTCTAGAAGACACTATGTCTGGAAGGCTGTGGTGCAAGGCCACGTTTGCTGGCTATAAGCGAGGTCTCCGGAACCAGAGAGAGCACACGGCTCTTCTTAAAATTGAAGGCATTTATGCCCGAGATGAAACTGAATTCTATTTGGGCAAGAGATGCGCTTACGTGTATAAAGCGAAAAACAACACAGTGACACCTGGAGGCAAACCAAACAAAACCAGAGTGATCTGGGGGAAAGTCACTCGGGCCCATGGGAACAGCGGCATGGTCCGTGCCAAATTCCGAAGCAACCTTCCTGCAAAGGCCATTGGACACAGAATCCGTGTGATGCTGTACCCATCCCGGATTTAATGAAAAGTAAATAAATAAAAGTAGATTTGTAAAAAAAAAAAAAAAAAAAAGGCAGAATGCTTACTTGCCCGTCAGAGACCAGTACCCTTGCTCATGTCTTCATATGTAGCCTGCACAGAGAATGTCTCTGTCAGTCTCGCTAACGGGACGGATGAGTGACTGTTTCTTTGCCCCCCCCCCCCATCCACAGTCAGTTGTATCAGAGAAGACATGAGTGAAGAGTCGGGTGGGAGGTGCTGGACAGTGAAGTCCCCGATGCCAAGACCCACTAGGGGATCAGGAAGTCTCGCGGTATTTGTGAGGGAGGGAGGTGAGGGGCATCATAGGAACGGTGTGGCCGAGAATAACCAATCAAATTTATCCTCTGCCCTGACGACAGAGTACTACTCTATAAGCCCAGCTCTTACTAGAGTAAAACAGCAGCCAATCGGAACTGTTTTCATTCATTTGCACGGTGGCAACCAAAACCAGAAAGAACACAGGTCCTGAAAACAGGCCTGAGCATAGCACTCCTGTAGCATGCTTAATGTATTTGTCCTTTGTCACCTAGGACCTCAGCTCACCGTAATGCTGACGGTAATGCTCTATACCAGGTGCAGAAGTAGCGATTTCCGCTGTAGCCTGTACCACAGTCACAGCTGCTGGCCAGTGTGCAGTTAGCTCCTAAGACAAAAGGGGATGTCTGGGGGAGAACCAACGGTCCTCGGTGGGAAAGCGGGCTGAGTCGTACTGAAAGCACAAGTCCTAGAGCCTGACAGCTTATGCCAAGTTCCTACTCTAGCCACTTCCAGGTACTTAACCTCTCGAGGCCTCTCTCTCTTCATTAGGCACCCTCCTCTCAGGGCTCTGGCAGAACGCAACGTGTTTAAACTGTGCCGAGACTATAAACAGGCAGGACGTGGCAGGCTCTACGCAGCCGCTCATCTTTTGGCCTTGGGCAGACCCAGATACTCTTTCTACCTGGGGTAAAGTAAACTATCCTCTGAGACCCAAAACAGACTGTTTGAGGCTCCCACAAGGGTCTAGAAAGTCCTGGCAGGAACCTCCTCTTGAACCCACAGGGCCCCCTGGGGTCTCCTCAGACAGATTTCCCCAGTTTTTTTCTTTGAGAGACTTGAAGAGAGGAAAGCAAAATGAAATAACTCTGCTGGAGGCAGGGCTGCATGCCAGAGAATGTGTTGGCATCATGAGCCCAGGGGAGCCCATGAGTCCTGTGACTTTCAGGAGCTATGGTGACCAGAGTCACTCACGTTGACTCAGGGGGCGCGGAGAGGATGCTCCTCCATCAGGTAGAGCACTTGCTGCTCTTGCAGGGAACCCAGGCTCAATTTCCAGTGCCCACAAGATGGCTCACAACCTTCTGTAACTCCAGTTCCAAGGGATCTGATGCCCTCTTTTGAACGCCATGGGCATGCACGTAGGGCACATATGCACAGCAGGCAAAACACGCAGACACATGAAACATATTTTTTAAAGAAAGTCATGGAATCGAGACAAAGCATTGGCTGGAAGTCCTGCGGAGGATTTTGTGTGTGTGTGTGTGTGTGTGTGTGCACGGGCGACAAGGACAGGGATGAATGGCATCTTCTGCACACTTAATGACAGACACAGTGTGTCTGGCTCACATGTAGTCGCACGTCCATTCACACTGCCAAGCAGGTCTTCACCACTTCTCTTACTAGCTCTAGGTCAGTGCGTTTCTGCTCTAAAGGCAGAGGGAGTGCCCTCCTGTCTGCCATGCCTTGCTTTGGTGGGTTTAACTGGCAATAGGAAACATGCAGAAACCACCAGGTGTGTGTGTGTGTGTGTGTGTGTGTTTGTGTGTGTGCAAACTCTCATCTTGGTTGTCAGGGTCTGTCAGAGGGAGTGGGGCTGTGGAGCATGGTGTCCAGCCTGCAGCCCCAGATGCTTATATACCTGCTACAAATAAGAGGGGGGGGAGGGGGAAGGGAAGGGAGAGAGGAAGTGAGAAGGGGAGAGGGAGAGAGAGGGAGAGGGTAAGAAGGGAGAGGGAGAAAGACAAACGGAGGAAGAAAGGGGAGGGGGAAAGGAAGAAGGAGAGGGAGAAAGAGACCCCAGTATCTAAAGAGCACAAGCTACTCTCTGCAGGTTCTGCAGGGCCTGTGTGGGAGCCTGGGGTACTGGGCAGACACTGCTCTCTCTGGTCTTAGCTGCTTTCCAGGGGTACAAGCCAAGCCAGAGAGTTGACGACTTCTTTCTGAGATCCTTCTAATAAGGGAAGACAGTGTGCTCCGTGGATTTTGTTTCCAAAATACTCTTTGTCTAGACTGCCTCTCACTTCTTGCTCAGACTTTACAGCCCTTCTCAAGGTGTCTCTGGACATCAACACCTGCTCCATGCAAGAATGCTTGCAACAGCCTAGACCATCTTCCCTCCCAATGTTCTTACCAGGGTGCTACAGACACAGTGCCCGTCTACAGCATCTCTGGTGCCATGGAGATTCCTCCTGTCTTTTTCTGTCACTCATTGCTGATGGACACTGATTTACCAAGTATGTGTCTGGAAGGTGTGATGGGGTGGGGTCTGGGATGGGGTGGGGTTTGTTTGGTCTTCAACAGCAGGAATTTGGAACTCTGGAATTACGATGCACACCGTGAGTTCACACTGTGAGTCTTCTTCACAAGGGGGTTCAGAGTGCCTATTTCTTCAGCTGCTTTGCCGTGAACCCTTAGAGCATTTTCTGTGGCTGGTGATCCACGGAACAGAGTTCAGAAACATTACCCTGAAGACTCCTCGAGAACAAATATATAGGCGTCTTGGCCTGCTGTGGCCATCCTTCATCTGTGGCTTTCTCCTGGACCTTTTACTCATTGTGGCTCCCCCGGGGCTCTGGAACCCAGGACAGACACTTAAGTATCTGTCTGTGATTGTCAGTCAATGTTTTCTTTTCAGTCCGTGACGGCTGGCAGTATCTGTTGTTTGCTGACCACCAAATTCCAGTGTGAGCTCCACACTTAAAGCAGACACTCAGTACACAGTGCGAGAACAGGGAAGAGGAGGGTAGTCCTGTAGCTCACACATCGGCAAAGGTCTAAGGATGTGTGAGTATTGCATTTAATCATTTAACCCTCACAGCAGTCCATGGGATAGGTGACAGACAGCATCTCTGTTTTATACTCGTGATCCCATAACTGATAAGGGACAGGGTTCAAAACCATGGAATCTGGTGCCAGAACCTAACTTACTAACAGCTTGTGTTTTTTTTTTTTTCTGGCCTAAATGATTTCCCGACGCCTTAATAAATTCACAAATAAATTAATTTGATCCTAGCAAGCTCTGAGGTCATGCTTTATGCTTCTGCCATGAGTTAGGTTTAACTTGGCAGGGTATTGGACAATTTCCTTGACAAAATATTCTATTTGCCAAGTAGCCACCTACATCAATTGAAACCCGAGTTTTACAAAGCGTGTGCGTATCTAGTTGGTGGCAAATCGACCAGCACACATCCCGGTTCAGGGGTGGAAAGCCCTGGTCTACCAGCAGTTAACATGTTCACTCTTCTCAGTGGCTCCACTCTCTTTTATGGACTATATTGATAAAGTTTGCCTGCTTGCTAATACCCTGAGAACAGCGTGCCTTCCTGGTCTTTGGTCAGAGCACTGAGATGCCCATCTCAGAAGAACAAGGCCATGCTTGAGCTGGAGGTTTGGTTTCTTTACAGCCGTGCCCTTGACTCTGCGGTACACAACAGAGTTCCCCGAACCCCCTCGCAGGGCAGACAGTGGGAGTGTTAATCAAGCGCTGTCTTGGAACATCTGATCCAAAATAGAATTGGAAACAATTTACAGATGGCATCCTAAGATTTTGCTTGGCTCCTTTGCCAGGGGCAGTCCATGCCCAAGCCAGGTGCCACCAGGGAACTTGTGGTGTAGATGGAGGCCCGGGCACTTGGGATATTCGAACTCAGGCTTCTGCTTTCCCTACCATCTCTGAAGGTGGAAGCTCATAGGGCATGATGAGTCTTTTCCACTTAGTCTCACACCACCCGCTTCCCAGACCCACTTATACCTCTCTGCCCCAACTTCCCCTTCCCAGACCACTTATACCTCTCTGTCCCAGTTGTAGGTAGAGCTGGTCCTTGGAAGTCACTGAAGCGGGCACTGCAGAAGACAGGAGAACAATGTGTGGGGCAATATTATACAGACCACATATTTCTACATTGTATGGCGGCCAGGCTCTCTAGCCATAGTTCGCACCTGAGGTGGTCACAGAGCCTTCTAGATGGGCTGTCGCTACCCTAAATGATAGGGTCGGAATATGATATCATTCAGCTCCGTTCTTTGTGATTTTGGAGATCACCTGGGAAGAGGTGTTAATCCAAGCTCCCTGACAGAGCAGCCATAGTTGCAGACTTGACTTTAGTCCTGCTACCCCGGAAACAGAATGCTAGTGAACCTCCCCCTCAGTTGACCTTTGGCTACAAAAGCTGTTTTGAGAATAAACACAGGTGATTGTCAGGATTTGAATGTACCCTGAGACTCCCTCCAATTGCTGTGTGAACTGTGTCTCAATTATTCCCACGCCTCCATGCCGGTCCAGAGAGATAGTTTATGTTGGGGTTGGACCCCGACAGCAATGATCTTGACTTTATTATTATTTTTTTAAGATTTATTTATTTATTATGTCTACAGTATTTTGTCTGCACGTGTGACTACTCGCCAGAAGAGGGCACCAGATCTCATTACAGATGGCTGTGCATCACCCTATGGTTGCTGGGAATGGAACTCAGGACCTCTGAAGAGCAGCCAGTGCACTTAACCACTGTGCCATCTCTCCAGGCCCCTTGGTTTTATTTCTTCCTTCTTCCAAAGTCCCTGGTTGTGGCTGGGGCCTTCTGAGGTCATAGTTTCTGTTTGATCCCCAATACCACATAAACTATGCATAGTGGTGTAACCTGTTACCCCAGCATTTGTGAAGTGGAGGTGAGGGGACTCAGAAGATCGTTGCTGGCATCAGCTGCATAGCAAGTTCAAGAACACAGGGGACTGCTTTCCATAGCAGGGCATAGTTAAAAAGCATATGCACTTGCATGTATATTTTTATGTATGTATATGAGGCAGGTGTGCGCATGTGCGTGTGTGTAGTGTGTGTGTGCGTGTGTGTGTGTGTACGTGTGTGTGTGTGTGTGTGTGTGTGTGTGTGTGTGCGCGTGTTGGGATGAGAACACCTATTCAGGCTCCTTAGAACTCTCCCTCCCTCCCCCATCAGATGTCATGTCGAAGGGGATAATGAAGGAGAGCTTGTGATTGGCAGGAGACAGGCTGCTGAGAATTCACTCGGGTCTTTACAATCCAACTCTGTAGTCATGGGCTGTTTCACTATGTGGATGCATTGGGGGGGGTGCGCCCTTAGAGAGTTTCATCACTGCACTAACATCACAGAAGGTACTTGCAGTAAGGTCATCACTATGGCATCACTAGGCAAAGGAACCTCCCAGGGCCACCATGGTCCTGTGGTTCCTGGTTGACCAAACACTGCTCTGCAGCACACAGCTGTGCCCACACCCAGATGATAAGCCTTCCGCCTCCCCAGAATGACAAGTCCAGAAGGCGCTATCATTAACACTAAGAAAGGAAGGGAAAAGGGAGGGGCCGGCGAAGGACTCTTTCATTTTCTATGCTGTAGATGTCTGTATTCTTTGAATTTTTAAGCCGGAATTCACCTGTATACTCACTTATAGCTATTTTATCACACAAAAGTTAATCGAGGAATTCAACAGAAAATATCTTTTGACTCTGACACAGAGCACTGTCCTACACTTAATCTCCTTTATCTTATGATATAGGCAGCCTAACTAACTGCCTGTCCAGCTGGACCTGCCCTCACCTGCCGCCTGCTGTGCCCTGGATATGGAGGTGAGGCTAAGAGGAAACGAAGCTTTCTGCTTGGTGTGAATGGAACCCAGGAAAGACGGAAAACAGGAAAGGAAACCAGCGGGCTGAGGAAAACAAGCAGAATCATCCAAGCGAAAGACTGCCTCAGACAAATGTCCCTGCTATAGCTGGATGATGCTAAAAAGACCATCAGAGGTACCTGGGTGAGCTGGAATGACCATAAACGTTTTCATCTGGTTCTGCACACCGAGACAGGCCACCTAATACCGCAGCTCAGCCCCAACGACTTCAATGGTAACCAGATGAATCCTCAGGCCGGAGGAGGCTGTAAGAGGTCACTTCAGTGTGTGCCCAGACTGGAGAAGAAAATCACTGTCCTTATGGGACGTGACCCAGTCATGGAAGAAATTATATGGCTAGATCAAAGCAGCTTCCCCAGCTCCACCCCTAAGTCAGCAAGAGACAGAACCATGTGCCAAAGTCCAGGACACCAGCAGTCCCATGAGTCAGCGTGTGGAAAGTCATATTCATGCCTCTTAGAAGGAAACAACTGCCCACCCCTCTCTCCCGCTGTAAACTGGGTCCATCTGGCAGGGAAGCAGCTGAAGAAATGAGAGTGCCCTAGAACGTTCCTTCTCCCCCAGGGCCTCTGGAAAACGGGTGGGGAGGAGTGAGAAGGGGTGGGGAGGGGGGCTGCAAGTTGTCATTTTCTCCAGTTGGTCACCTCAGGAGATGGCTCCACATGCTCACCAGGTGAGGCAGAGGCCTTAGAAGAGGGCAAAGGCCTCGAGGGATCCGGGAGATTCAGAGAAGTGTGACAATACACTTCCTCTAGCCGAAGGCTGGAGCACAGTGGCTGGCCAGTCTCCACACATCTTTGCAGTGTGTGAACAGGACATTCCTGAATCTGGCCCCGGGATTAGAACTCTGACCAGGAGAGCAGTGCAGAGGCAAGTGCTGCCATGTCTGGGAGGACCTGAATGAAGACAGGAGTGTGACAAGTGCCATCCCCAGGAGGCAGCTCACAGGGGAAAAGGTCAGCTTTGGGCCAGGGCAGAGCAGAACTTAAGGGAACGCCAGAGCCTTAGCAGTTCTTAACGGTTAACAGTTGCTATCTCTTGATATGCGACCACCCTAAATATTTAGTCAACACAAACGCTACCAGAGTTATAATAAATTGAGTTTGGGGGCAAATCAAACATTGGAACCTAAAATAATGTTGTCAGCTTTAACCCATTCTTCCATTTTCATTTATTTGAATGCGTTAGAAAAAACTGCTTGTTAAAGAACCACGGGGCGTGGCTTTCCTTTGTCCACAGCTCTGGTGCTGCATGGGGGTCAGCTGCGCGTGAGCTGCACCCACTTCAGAGGCCTTAGTGACTCCTGTAGATTCCTGCTCCGTTCCACAAAGGGCCCCTGGCCTCACTCGTGCCTTTCAAGGATTGCAGGGCAATAAACCTCACTCCACCTTGCCCACAGGTAACGAGATTATTGGAGACCGAAGATAACATTAGCCCAGTCTTGGTGTCTGATGAGGGAGTCCCAGGCCTTTGGGGAGAAACTGCCAACAGCTACAGACCAGGACGTACCTGCAGAACTCGTGACGTGAATACTGTAAACCTGGTGGCCGTTTGGAAGTTCTTGGTTAAGAGAATCATTTTGAAATAAGTTGTTTTGTAATGAATGTATGTATATGCACACCCATACATACATAATATGATACATTGTAACTAGAGGATTCTTTCCCACCTGCCAGTTCCTGAATAACCTCTCGGAGGCTTAATATTAGTCACAAACTGTCTGGCCTATTAGTTCAGGCTTATTATTAACTAGCTCTTACAACTTAAATTAACCCATTTCTGTTATTCTACATTTTACCACAAGGCTCATGGCTTGTTACCTCACTCCTTGCTTCCCTGGAGACTGCTGGCATCTCCCTGACTCGGCCCTCACTCTCCCTCTATCTCTGCTTGGATTCCCCACCTAGCTCTCTTCTGCCTGACTATTGGCCAAATCAGCTTCTTTATTAACCAACGGTAATAAGACATACGCACAGCCTACAGAAGGACATCCCACACCAACACATGGTTTTAAACTCAAAATTATATGTAAGATAACTGTGGAACACATTTCCTCACCCGTGCTCCCACTCCTGTATCAAGTAATAATATTTAGTAATTTGTTGTCAATGTGATTATTTTTTTCAGAGCTTTGCTATGTACTCCTGACTGGCCTGGAATCGTGCATAGATCAGTGTGGCATTCTTTCTGCCTGTCTCCTGTCTAGCAATAGGGCTTCTTAATGATACTAAAATAGGGCCATGCTTGAGCTAGAAGCCATCCGGCTCTCTGCAAGGGACTGCTGAGCAGGGTTGCCACAGCGCGAAGGCAGTGTCTTACTCAGGTATCCTCAGAGTCCACAGGCCGAAGCAGTCAGGCTTCTCGTCCAGGCTGGCAGGGTCTGGACAGCCCACAGGCCAGCCCACAGGCATGGATCTGAGGCCGTGGGCTTGCTGAGTGTCTCTTCCTGTGGCATCTTTGGTCTAATAATAATCCCAGGGAAATAGTATCAGTGTTTACTAGAAACACATGGCAGACTAATCTGTCCCATATTCAACCACAGACGAACTTCTGCATGCTCGGGATTACACGCACCCTCTGGGACGCTATTCTAAGCCACAAGCACAGCCCTTCGGGTTTGCGGTCAGCAGGTCCCCTCAGATAGCTGTTGATTTCCTTTGCTCCCTCCACTGTGGTTGAAAAGATGGGTAGGAGAGTGGGAGGATAGGCCTTTCATCACGGCAGCTCCCTCCCCAACTCAGGCTTAGAGCTAGCATATAGGCCTAGGCCGAAGGTCAGAGACCACAATGCACCCGGGCAGAAAGGCTGACTAGAGACAGCTCGCCCTCACCCCTCTCTTGGCCGCGTCCCGGCTCATCACTCTCCTCTAACGTTGTTTCCCAATGAGTCACCACCCACAGAGCTGGCTGGCACATTTTCAACTCCTGGACTCCACCCAGGCCCCTCCCAAACATCCCCACTCATTCCCACTCTCCCAGGGGCCCTGAAATGACACGGTGAACCCTATGTCTGGGTACCCTAATGGTATGCGTACTCCCTGAGGCCACAGCATATCCCGGGCAAAGCAGTGGGGTGAACGGAACACTCAGTCACCGTCTTCTCAGGGCCACCTTTCTACTTTGAATTTTGGACTTGGAGACTGTGAGGCTAAAATAAACAGCACTTGCGGGGCGCCCTGCCGGGATGGTGTTTTATTGCTAGCCCAAGCTGCAGTGAATACAGTTTTATGTTCTGTTCTACCAGAATGGATTTTCTTCAGAGAAGTGGAAATTACTGGGGAGCTTAAGAGAGGAAACTGAAGAGAAAGGACCCTCTGTTGGTGTGGGAAGTCCCGCTGTAGATGTGCTACTTTTATTGGTTAATGAATAAAGAAAGAAATAGGTTAATTCTAGATGTAAGAACTAGCTAGCAATATGCTTAAGTGATTGGCTAAATGGTGATTTAATTAATACAATTTTAATTGGTTATTTCAAGTCTGGGTAGCCTGGAACGAATGAGTGGCCTCCTACAACAGATTGGCAAACCAATGTGGGACTGGCTAAATCCATGCAAAACCTGAGAAAGCTTGAAAAGAAATTCTACACACACACACACACACACACACACACACACACACAAAGTGCAGTTTCAAAATGGCAGTTTCCTGGTTCATGCTGCCAGCACGAACTCTGGTTCTTTCAGGAGGCCAAGCATTTGAAAGGGGCCTGTGACCAGAGTGCTACAATTTACTTAATGGCAACATAGACCTGCTGTGTACCTAAACACAGGGCAATGTGCATGGCTCTCAGAGGCAGCGAACATGCTTTCCCATGATGGACTGGGCAGAGTAAGCAGGCAGGGCCGTGTTGGCCCTAGTCATGCCTGCTTAGCAATTAAAAAGAAAAGTGTGTTTAAAAAAACGTACATAGGCTTGGGAGAGAGAAGAAAAAGGGTAAAGAGACAGTAAATATAAAAGAGTACAGACAGCCATAGAATAAAACAGTAAAGATAATAAAATAAAGTTGTAGAAAAAGTAATAGAGTAAGAAAAAAGCCATGTAAAGATGGAAAATACACAGAGAGTCTGGATTATGTATATTGTGTTTTCTTTGAAAATTTTAACTGTGAAGGAGCTAAGTACAGAGAGACATTTCATTGTATGGGCTGCTAAGCTAAACCAACATATATATTGTAAAGGTATCTTGACTTCAAAATTTGGGTCTAAGGACTTGTTGCTTTGAAAAAGAGGTTCTTCTTTTGTTTCCACAGAGGATGAGAATCTGTGGAATCCTTCCAGACTAATGTGGTGTGATGAACCAAGACCCTCGAAAGGTCTCCATAAACATCCCAAAAATTTACTTTGCCCAACGAAAAGCAGGAAGCAATTTGGAGAGAACTACACCCAAATTCCCTAAATGATTGTTTATAAATGTTTCTTTACATTTAAAGGGGAATATATTACAGAGATGAATACTTTGCATTGGTATGGATCTTGATCTATTGATACAAATTTTAGGTCAATTTTGTCATATGTATATTTCTGCTCTTGATTAGGTGCAGTTCATTTAAAAATACAATGTATAATTAATAAATAAATACAGGTTAATATTCATCTATAATAGTCAAACTTGTAGTCATATTAGTTAGATTATCTAGACATACAAATATATATTTCAGTTAGATAGGTATTTTTCAAATCTTTCAGAGACCTACAGAATATGACATTTAAAATGTTTTAAGAACTGAGAACTTTTCATGACACTGAGACACATCTGCTCCTGGCAGCACCAATTACTTCAAGAGGATGATGGGCATTGAAGAGGCTTCTTATGGAGTATGTTAGCCATTTGGGCAAGAAACTGCTTTTGCCTGGACTGCTTAATGAACTGGACATGCAGGATCCACAGAAAAACGACTGCTGAACTTGCCTAAAGGTGAGATGGTCCTTCGGGGTTCCTGCTTTATAAAAGAGTCTGCCAGATGTTCTGCAGGACACAGAAGAAAGTGACTGACAACCTGCCAATATAGGTGGAACTGTCTTTGAAATTTACTGCTTTGTGGAAAAGTCTGTTGAATACTATGGGCCTGTAGGCTGAAGATGGGTGCCCCCATGTCACAGAAGAATTTTGGGTGATTGTCCAGGCAGTGAGATATCTCTGTCAATTCTAGAGTTTTGTAAGTTGCTTAAAATACACTTTCTGCTTACTTATGTAATATTATATCCTTCTGGAGTTTTTGATGGAGTTGAAGAATTTATAGTTACAGTTTTCCTTAGTTATGATAAAAGATAAAGTAAATATAAATATTGCAACTATAATTTTTGCTTGATACTTGTTTTTTATATGTAATTTTACTATGTTAAAGTCAAAACCTTCCTTTTTATTTTAAACAGAAAAGGGGAAATGGTGTGGGAGGTCCTTCTGTATATGTGTTGCTTTTATTGGTTAATGAAAAAGAAACTGTCTTGTGCCTGGCAGGGCAGAATAGAAGTAGGTGGGGGAAACTGAACTGAATGCTGGGAGAATGAAGGCAGAGTCAGGGGATGTCATGTAGCTGCCAGAGGGGAAAGACACTCTCTGACAGGTAGAACCTTGCCGGTAGGCCATGAGTCTCATGGTAAAATATAAAATAATGAAAATGGGTTAATTCTAGATGTAAGAGCTAGCTAGCAATATGCTTAAGTAACTGGCCAAGCAGTGGTTTAATTAATACAGTTTCTGAGTGGTTATATTGAGTCTGGGTAGCCAGGAACGAACAAACAGCCTCCCACAACACTCTGTGACCCAGGCAGGCTAAGGGCATCACCAGTGTTCTGAAGACAATAAAAGGTTAAAGAGTTCTGAAAAGGACCTGGGAATTGACAGGAGTCTTGTCAACGTGAAAATGCTGAAGAAAATGCACGTGGGAAGAAGGTTACTTCGTCCCCAGCACTCTCTCTGTCTCTTCAAACCCAAGGGTTTGAAACCCCCATGATTTTGTGTGGCCAGTGTCTACCTGCCCCTGCTTCACTTATGAGTGCTTAAGAATCAGGTAAAAGAACATAGCTCTGCACAGTTTTGATTTCCTTATGTATCTCTCTCTTGATTTACAAGAAATACAGTTATAAAAACACAAATCGTGATAAGATTCATTCCCCCATTAGTAAGTAATCGTTTCCAGAGCTGATACACAGCAACTGTGTCCACAGAAGACTTGGTCTGACAGAAGCTCATTCACACTTGTGTCCCCCAGGGAGCCGCTTTCTTCTACAGCGGAGTAGAGCTGTACCGGCTGCTTCAGGTGTCACCTACAGGGGGACAGGTGGCTGGCCCTCCCTTGTAAATCTGTCCAGGACATTGACTGTACTCTTTCTAAAACCCTGCGATTTTGAGGTCACTTTGACGAAACATTCCTTCATGTTCTTGCTGCTGTCTGCTGCTCGCTTTCATCTCCCCGACTGTAGAGAGCTCGGGCTTCTGCGTTTGAATCGGTGTGACCCAGATAGTAGTAAACAACCCCGTCCCTTTGTGATCTGTTACAGAACATCTAAAGATGCCATTTGAAATTCTGAGTAGCACAGGAGAGGGAGTTTGAACTGCTCACACTAACTCCAGGAATCTGGCTGTGGAAGACAACCTCTCTCGCTCTTCTGTACCCTACCTCCCAACACAAACCACGCAGGCATTTCCCATCCCAGCAATCCTGGATGAACTAACTTCTTTTCAACATAAACTGTAATTAAATATCTTCCCAAGGTCCTTGCTTCTGTGGGAAGATCCTTCCAGCTTCCAGAAACTCCGCTCTTCCATGCATCTTTTCTTATTCTTTCTCCTGCTGTGATGCTGCTCTTTCCATTGCAGGAAAAAATCCATCTTAAAGTTCTCTTCTTGGAGGATGAGGGTGTGGCTCAGCCAGTGGCAGAGCGCTTGCCTGCTGAGTGTAATGTTCCATTCCTGGCACAGGAAAACAAAAACCTCTTTTTCCTTGAGCTGCCAGCTGCAGCTGCACGCCCCTACTCTCCACTACACCCCAAATGTCCAGAGTGACGGCACACAGTGGATCCACTGCCTTCACTGGCCTTCGACAAGTCCCCAGGGACTGTCCACTGCCTGATCCATCTTTGAGGCCTTTTTTCATCCTCTTGGCCCCCTGCAGTGTCTGTGTCTCTGTCAGCCTCACCACACACATCTGTTCAACCCAGCTGCGGGCAGTGGAGGCTGCTCTGGGCTTGCTCCCCTCTACCTACAGCTTCACTGGGACCCTCTCAGCAGCACCCAGGACCGAGATGCCTTCCCTACGCTGCTGACTTGGTGCTAAAGGACCACCCAGACTTCTCCTCAACCCTCAGACAACTCAGAACTATCTATGCGGCTCCTCCCCTTTCAATGTGTCATGGATGGCCCAAGACTAACCCATTCAAACTTTCCTTTCTGAGCACTTGGGAATTGAGGAAATGTGTTCCTGGGTTTATTGTGGATGTTGCTGCCTGTTAGCAAACCTGTGCGTGAAGGGTGTGTGTGTGTGTGTGTGTGTGTGTGTGTGTGTGTGTGTGCACGCGCGCCCATCCCAGTGTGTACTGAATAGTGACTCCGGATCCACTTGTAGTTCCCTCACTGACCAGTGGGTGCCACCTGACAGGCAGCTGTGTCCATTTCTCCTGAGCCAGTCCTGTGGCAGAGCCGAATTTTCTCATATTTGTAATCCGGTTCACAATGTCTGGAATGACCTGTCACTAACACTCTTTCCCAGCCTCGAACTACAGCAGCCTACCCCCACCCCTTTCTCCAGCACAAAGTACTTCATTTCTTCCCTGTACCTTCCGGGTTACAGCCTATTTAACTAGCACCCTCAGCCTATTTTACTAGCACCCTGAGGGCACCCTCCCTAGAAGGTGACCCTTGCTGGACAGCAGCTGTCGACGAGGCTGGGATGTCCCACCCTACAGAGATAGCCCTCACAGTTGGCCTCATTCTCCCTGGTGCTGGCAAGAGGGACAAGCACAAGTTTGAAGCTGGGAGACAGTCCAGGGACTTCTGAGACTCTAGTAAGATGGACTCACAGGGAGGTGAGAGTAGCTATGCCTGGGACTGAGTCACATCCAAGCAACCGGCCTGCTGGAAACACCGAGTCAGCCTGTGCCCTGGCTCTGCCCGCTGCCCTCCCTTGTGGAATAGCTTCCATCCCTCTTTCTACCACCCTCTACTTGTGGCTCTGTATTTCTTCCTAAAAAATGAATCCTCCCCCGCAGGGCCTTCTTGGCGTCCCTGTTCTGATGTGGACAAGGATTGAACCCAGTGAGGAGTGGGGCTGGCCTAGACCATGCTGTTAAACTACTAGATTGTGGTCACTGGCTTCTCTCTTGCCTAGATTTCCCAGTGTCCATACACACCAATGCCTTTCTGGGGAAATACTATGGCTGGTGCCTGACCTCAGCGGCCCTGGCATTCTGAGGAGACCTCGTCTGCACACAGAATGAAAGCGATCATCTTTCCACCATCAACAGCATTCACCAGGCACAGCCATGGCAGATCCATTGCTTCCAAGATCCTCCCTTGAGATAAGTACTGGAGGGTAGAATATCTATTTAACTCTGTAAAGATGGGCTACATTTTTTTTTAACCGATTAAATCAATTTGTTAAAACAGTTGACTTAGGCATCTGCAATGGTGACTTCAACCTCCATGCCTGGCTCAATACTGATGGATGTAATCTGCTTAACTATCTCGGAGGGGCTGTGCAAGTCAATGAGGCACTTGCGGATTCTCATTTGGAAACGATCCCACGTCTTGGAGCCTTCACCACAAGGTGTTTTCCTTGTAGTGTTCCTCAGGATCTTGGTGGGCATGCGCACTGGCCCCTTCACTTTCACGTTCTTCTCCTTGGCGCCTCTGATCAGATCAGCACACACCTTCTCCAGCGACTTCACGTTGAGGCTAGTGAGAGTGATCCAGATGCGGTGGATCACCACCTCAGGCTCCACGGGCGTCTTCCCGGTGTCTTTGAAAGCCAGCCAGCCGAGCGGGGCTCCGTGGCTCACACCACCATGCCTCAGAAAGCTGGGCTACATTTTTCTGTGTATTGCAGAATAACTGTTGACCTTTGTAAAGATGTGTTGCTTTTGTATATGTTGCGTTTGTTTAACTATGTAAAGGTGTGTTGCCGTTTTTTACCTTGTCTGCCTAAGGTACCTGACTGGTTGAACAAAAAACTGACCGGTCAAGAGCTGGGAGAGGAGGGATAGACGGGCCTGTCAGGCCCAGAGGAATGGGGAGCCAGACAGACAGACAGGAGGAAGCACGAAAGCAGGGTGGGACAGTATACAGATGAGGTGAGTGAGTCCCGGAATAGCACACAGGTGAACAGAAATGGGTTAATTTAAGTTTTAAAAGGTTAGCTAGAAATAAGCCTAAACTAAGGCCGAGCGTTCATAATTCATAACAAGTCTCCATGACATAACTTGCGGGATGGTGGTCTGAGAACGTCGGCTACATACACGTTCTGTACTAGGGTTTTTACAGAGGAAAGTGGGGCTTGGAGAGGCTTAGACTCCCTCAAGTTTATGGGACACGTCAGGCGGAGCATCATTCCAAGGCCGTTTCAAAGCTGGCACTCCTCGCACGCCTGAAGGGCTAGCACAGCAGTATGAGCGGGCCGGATGGCACAAAGAGCAGGGGGTACAGGCACAAAGGATGGGAAATCGTGAGCTCAGAAGAAGCAGAGTGGGAAGGGAAGACGTCACAAATACAGGAGAGAAACTTTCAATGCCCATGAAAGCCTGTTGGTCCCGTTGAAGCTTGGTATGGAGAGAACTATATGGTATGGTAGGGAACGCTCCTGGTAGTCTCTGAACTTCATCCCATCTCCAGGCAGGCAGACCATCCCTGTCACCAGCACCAGAGACCTCAACTCCTGCTGACATTCCCGCCCTGGTGAGTAACTTTCTGGGACCCGATGTGTTTAGTAGCCTTGGGCTAGATCTCCTGGCTGAGAGTTTCCGCTTTGAGCACCCTGTACCTAGTTTTCTACAAAGTTTGTCCTTGGATGCAGGGAGCTACCTTTACTCTCAGGGACAGGAAGTTCCAGGGGTGTGTGGACCTTCAGCCCCGTCTTAGATAGCGTTTCTATTGTTGTGAAAAGACACCATGAACATGGTGACTCTTATAAGGAAAACATTTAATTGTGGTGCCTCTCTTACAGCTTCATAGGTTCAGTCCTTTATCATCAAGGCAGGGAGCATGGTGGTGTGGAGGCAGACATGGTGCTGGCTACCTCTTGATCAGAAGCCAAAGGTCTAGGAAATGGTTTGACACTAGGAGAAGCTTAAGCAAAGGAGACCTCAAAGCCCACCCCACCCCCACAGTGACACGCTTCCTCCAACAAGGCCACACCTACTCCAACAAGGCCAGTCCTTCTCCAACAAAGCCACGCCACCTAAGAGTGCCTCTCTCTCTGAGATTATGGGGGTCAATATATCCAAACTACCACAGACCCCCAGGCCACCTGTAGCTGACAACTGATCTAGCGCCTTGAGACTGAAGGGAGTTGATACTGACAGGTGCAAACTCAGTCCCCTTTGCGTCAAGTGACACCATCTCTGAGGTGCCATCTCTTCTCCAAAGCTCCTTCGGGGAGGCTGGAGTCAGGCTTCAGGGTGGCTCTCACCCCTGCCCTCCCCTCCACCTCCACTCTACCCTCTCCAGGGGAGCATGGAAGCATGTCCTTTCTAATCCCTTGGGTCAAGGCCATGGCACGGCATCCTAGCTCTGAGGAGACCCAGCTGGCTCTAGGTGACCTGACATGAAGCCATCCTGAAACTCTGGAAGCCTTTCCCAGTTCCAAATCCCCACACAAAGAAGGGACTTCAGGCAATAGGGAATTATGCACCCCCAAAAGGAGGTGTCTTGGTTTGGGTTACTATTGCCATGATGAACCGCCATGACCAAAGCAAGCTCGGGAGGAAAGGGTTTATTTTGGCTTACACTTCCACATCGCTGTTCATCAGCAAAGGAAGTCAGGACAGGGACTCAAACAGGGTAAAAACCTGGTGTTCTGGTGTATTAGTTTAAGATGAGTTATTCTCTTTTATGCTGTGGAATATTTGCTTAATGATGCAAAGATGTGTTGCCTTTGTTTGACTCTGTAAAACTGTGTTACTTTGCCTGCCTAAAACACTTGATTGGTCTAATAAAGAGCTGAGTGGACAATAGCCAAGCAGGAGAGAGAAACAGGCGGGGCTGGCAGACAGAGAGAATAAATAGGAAGTGAAATCTAGGGAAGAGGGGAAGGTTTGAGAAAAGGAGAAGGAGAGGAGGATGCCAGGGGCCGGCCATCCAGTCACACAGCCAGCCATAGAGTAAGAAGGAAAGAAAGATATACAGAATAAAGAAAGGTAAAAAGCCCAGAGGCAAAATGTAGTTAAAGAAAAATGAGACAATTTAAGTTAGAAAAGCTAGAAACAAGCCAAGCTAAGGCAGGGCATTCATAAGTAAGACTAAGTCTCCATGTATTTATTTGGGAGCTGGGTGGTGGGCACCCAAAGAGTAAAAAGACCAACTACAACCTGGAGGCAGTAACTGATGCAGAGGTTGTGGAGGGTTACTGCGTACAGGCTTGCTCCTCCTGGCTCGCTCAACCTGCTTTCTGACAGAACCCAGGACCACCATCCCAGGGATGGCCCCACCCACAGTGGACTGGGCCCTCCCCCACCAATCACTAATTAAGAAAATGCTCTACAGCTGGATCTTATGGAGGCATAGTCTCAGTTGAGGGTCCCTCCTATCAGAAGACTTTAGCTTTTGCCAAGTTAACGTAAAACGATCCAGCATCGTAGGTGATTGTGCACGGGCTTGGTGGCAGTCTGCAGAAAAGACTCCACCATACCACAGCGAGAGTGGACTGGACTCCTAAGAAGCAGAGGGCGGAGCTCCTGAAGGCAGGGGATCATGGAGGGGACAGTCAGGACTCAGAGGACACTGAAAAGGAAGGAAGTCCTTTGTGATCTTCTGTCCTTAGAGAGTGGAGCTGAGAGTCATAGCCTTCCGACTCCTCTGTGAGGTCCACCACTGGGCCCTTAGGTCACGCTGCTGGGATTGTCATTAAATGCAAGCCCTTTGTTCCTCCAATAAAAGAAAAATAAAATCTTCTCTTGTGAACCAGTGGAGAAGAGGGACAGTAGGGGGCGGGAATGGAGTCACTGGCTGGGGAGCGTGCTCCCTAGACTCTTGAGGAAGAATACATTGATGAAAACACCCACAAGAAGGACTCTTTCCACAGGGACTCCACAGGGCTCTATGTGTGTGCATGTCCTCACACATGCATGCATGTTCTTGTGCTCTCTCTCTCACATGTAACCTCAGTCAAGGCCTGATGGGCCAGGCAGCTAGGAAACTGGCCTTCGGAGGGTGTGAGTTTTCCTGCTTGAGCAAGTCCTGGCTCGTATCCCAACAAGCAGAACTATCAGCCTAGGTCACAGAAGAAGTGGAGGGTGGGGTAAGAAAAGCGAAACACACGGAGCCTTGAGACCTGCCTGGCAGCCACTCCCAGGCTAACAGTCATTAGGGCTTCTCCCAGAAAGTGTGACCTGTGCCTGGGGAATGCAGCCGCTCTTCCCTCTCTTCCAGCTCTAAGGCACCCAAGGGATGTCCTCGCTGCCTTCTTCCTCATTCCCAAACCTGTGGCAATGTTCCCTCCCCATGTGGCACCAGATATGGTCCCCCCCGCCCCACCCCCGCCAGAGCTCATGTGCTCCTTGTGAGAGTCTAGCCATCATAAACCAAGAATGCGCTTCCTCTCTCCCGGGGTACCTGTGCTCAGTTCCCAGCACACACAGTGGTTCATAAGCATCACAAACTCCAGTTCCAGAAGACACAACACCCTCATCTGACCTCTGTGGCCACCAAGCATGTCCGAAATGCACACATGCACATGCAGGCCAAACCCTCATACATGTAAAATAAAATAAATCTAAGAGAAAATTAAGAAAAGCTGCAATTGTCTCACTGATAATTTGATGGAACCAACCGTGTACAGCTTGTATCAATATGGCCTGCAGAGGAGATGAGAGAAGGGAAAATCACCCACAGCTTTTCCACCAAGTGTGTTCTCTGGTGAGGGACTGCACCCGTTAATTTCCACGACAACTGTGCCTCTTACTCTAGGCCCTGGCTATACAGAGGGTTTTGTTTCGTTTGGTTCTTAAAATTCACACGCGTCCGTCAGCCTTGGTCTCTCACTTTTACGGGCTCTCCTACAAGGCGGCATTGCTTTCCTGCCAGCTCATCACTTCTCTTCCGCCTCAGGACAGCCTGACCGCTGTATCATCTGCCATGGAGAGGGCTCTTGGAGTAGACAGGAGGTGTATACTCCTCAGACTGCCCACGTTCTCAGCCTGGCTTTCCTCACCTCTTTGCTTCCTTTCCACAAGGTCATCTCTTATGACACTCTCTCCTGGGGACAGTGATAGAGGTTGTAAGGCCTCGTTTGATGGGATCCCTGAGCCCCACCATGTTCTCAGGAATGGCAGGTGGAGCTCCAGGCCAGCCTGTTCCTCACTTCTCCAGGACTTTTCCAACTACCCACACATCTTTGTTCCTAGCATTGGGTCTTCTCAGCTCTCTGTTAGCTGGAATTCAGTGTTCCAGGACTGTGCCCAGTACAGAGAAGCATCTGGGCAAGGTGTACAGAAGGACTGTGTCTTAATTAGGGTTTCAATTACTGGGAAGAGACACACTATGACCATGGCAACTCTCATAAAGGGAAACATTTAGATGGGTGGCCTACAGATTCAGAGGTTTAGTCCATTATCATCATGGTGGGACATGGTGGCAGGCAGGCAGACATGGTGCTGGAGAAAATGTTGAGAGTTCTACGTCTTGATCCACAGGTGACAGGAAGTAAACTGACGCTACACTAAGCACAGCTTTAGCATTGGAGACCTCAAAGCCCCCCACAGTGATACACTTCCTTCAACAACTGTGGCCATACTTACTCCAACAAGGCCACACCTCCTAACAGACTCGTTATGA